ATGTTAGTTGCCAATTTATTTGATAAAATATTTCGGTTTCTCAGCACGCTTAAAGCCGTTGAAGGCTAAAAGCTGCTTGCTTAGCAGATATCTAGATCAATATATATATACACTTCTCAGAAAGGCGTCTCACCGACAGGCTGGAATCGCGGTGCGATTCATGAATTTACGTGGATATACACACATGCCACAGTGTCGCGGCAGACAGATCAATATGACAGATGTAGACACAACTAACGATTTACTAAAATTAGAATGTGTACTTGGGATCTCAACCTTATGTACGAGTTGTATATCAGGTATTTGATGAAGCACAAAGCTGTATGCATAGATACATGCATGTACGGTGGATTTGTGTGTGTTAATTTCGGTTTGAATAGAAGTGATTGAAAATGATGAGCTCGTAGAAAATGATACCCGACGTCAAACCCAACACTGTGTCTAGACACAACATAATAGTCAGATTGGAAAGTATGTCGGAAAACACAGGTCGTATTTAGTTGCTTCCATTCAAATTGGGATTACAGCATTATGTTAGATTACAGAGGATGTCGGAATACTCAGGGGTCAGATTAGACAAATTTCACTGTATGAACACATATATATTTCTTTTTAAAAATGCAACTTTTGCTTCGGTCTCAAACAAAGTGTCAGTTTTTTCTGGTCTAGACCATCTTGAATTGTATGATTTAAATTTTAAAGCCTTTTNTATTTGAAAAAAAGACAAAAAAATAGTTACTTCAGCGTGATGCCCCTTTAATGAAAGACTTTAAATTTTTTGAATTTTTTCATAAAGAAACTTTTTTTTTTTAATAAAATTCTATACCGGTATTATTTATAAGTTCTTGCTGTACAGTACAGCCCTGTATAGTTGCTTAAAATTAACGTTTAACATTGATCAGGAATTGCAGGAGTTATTTATACATTGCCGGACGCAAGACGTACAATGTACTTAACGAGTGAAACACAAACTTTTGTCCTCATGATCAGTGCAGGAAGGTCATTGGTCGTGAAATTAAGTATGCATGAAATGTATATTGTTCAGATAGGGTACATGTACTGCACAATATATTACATTAAGATTCGTTCACGGTTCAACGGCCTGTCAACACAATACAGACATTTAGGGCCATTACACACATTTAGGGTGGCTTACACGGTATACAATGGTAATTCGTTTGTCGACCAAGGGTGGCCAAGGCCATGGCCAGTTCAGATAGGAAAGCAGTGAAATGTATATAAGGCAAAAGAGAAAAGGCGGAGACCATTTTAGGGGCGTTAGCCATCTACAGCAAGACTTTAAAACTAGAGGACGGTTACAAGTATATCTATTGATTACTGTACATATTGTAAACCATTCAGACAGGCCAATGTCTTCTGTTGACCTAGACTATAATGAGCCGTTCGTGGTTGTTAAATTATAACCCTGGAACTTTAAATCAGCTCCAACTCTGGGACACAATACCCACATATTTTAAGAACTGGTGGATAATTAAAAAAATATATTTATATATTTCACACAAGTGTGTCACTTGTTTTTTGTAATGTGATACCGTTTTTTTGTATCATTTTATGTAAATGTCTTGTAGCCAAAGACATCTATATAATGGCCAATGACCGGCCATTCGGTATAGATGACCGGTGTATGGCAGCCTGGAGTTGACCGAGAGCTTATAGGTTCCTAGTACACATAGGAATACAGTTATACATTGTAATGCTAATGACCTATAGACTTACATATACTGGAACGGCTTTCTATCATCCTTCTTACGATCATGGTAGTAAGCTTCAATAATATTGGAACTACCTTAAGGTAGAGAGTCCCAGCAATCTCCCTAATTATCTCCAGAAAAAAAAAGAGTTCCGATAAATTGTTTGTTATTTTCTGACTTGGAGTTGCTTTCTCATTTTTAAATACTACTGTTTAAGTAAAAGAGTTATGTGTGAAAGAAATACATATTTATTATAATTTTCTTTTTCATAAAAAATTATCTTCCAGCAGTATTTTATTATTTGGCCTGAGTGGAAGTTGTGTCAACAGTATGGAAAAACAGATATATTTCATTATTTAGTCCTGAGTGAAAAATATGCAAACAGTTTATACGTGTGAGATTCAGAAAAAGATTTATTCTATTATTTGGCCTGAGTGAAAATTGTGTGAATGGTACTTGAATATATACACAAGCTAACATTAGACCGAGCTTATATTGTACACATAGTGATTTAACTGTGATAATGTGGGTCAACCCAAATCCAGGTTATTGTAGCATTAATGGTCAGGTTATCATGATTTATTTTTTTTGGTTTGAGAATTCACTCTCACTTTATTTGACCTATGATGATATAAAAATTAAACTGTTCTTAACTTTAAGCAGGGGAAGTATTTCAATTGCGGCTTATGATAAATTGGAATGTATATATGTGGTCTAACCCTTTCACCCCTATGTAACTTAAGTAGACTCTTCCATGCATTGATATAGATGAGTCCATTATGGTCTACAGTGGTGAAAGGGTTAAGAAATTACAGTATTGATAAAATTTACAGAATGAAAAATAAACTTGAATTAAGAGACGGAGTGAGATACATCTGTTTGATATAAATGATAAACGCTAAGTTTGTTACGAACACAACAGTAATTGAAAACTTAGTTTAAATGAGTTTTCAATGACTGTTCGTGTTCAAAACAAACTTAGCATTTATTAATTATAACAAACTGAGGAACCTAATTCAGCAAGCCGATTCTTAATGACAGCACAATGTTTACCTCCCGACAAAACTCTTAACTTAATATACAGTCAAATAGTACAACAACCTTCATAGGAGACCATCTGTGTCATGAGTCCATTTTCAACATGCCCCATTCTAGTGATTTCATCGTGAATTTTACTCCGAGACAACGTTTTTGTATTTACATACTTTGAGTGTCAAGACAACGTTTTTGTATTTACATACTTTGAGTGTCGAGACAATGTTTTTGTATTTACATACTTTGAGCGTCGAGACAACGTTTTTGTATATTTGCATACTTTGAGTGTCGAGACAACGTTTTTGTATTTACATACTTTGAGTGTCTAGACAACGTTAACAACATTTTTGTATTTACATACTTTGAGCGTCGAGACAACGTTTTTGTATTTACATACTTTGAGTGTCGAGACAACGTTTTTGTATTTACATACTTTGAGTGTCGAGACAACGCTTTTGTATTTGCATACTTTGAGCGTCGAAACAACGTTTTTGTATTTACATACTTTGAGCGTCGAGACAACGTTTTTGACATGTGTGTTTGTTTGGTTTTATTGCCGCTTCACTACCGAGCACCAGCTCCAATTTTGTATTATCGTAATTAGCTTTACATACGGCTTAAGTTGATATAGCGATACATGTATTATGCACAATACAATGTCATACAAAGTCAAGTTCAAGTCATACACTGATTATATTCACTCATTTTAAAAAAAACGAGAAATTTTCCGAAATTATATAGTTTCGTAACATTTTCTGTTCTAAGCAATATAAATAGTTTACACATGGATGGCTTTCAGCGAGAATAAGGTTTTAACAGTTTTTGCAAGAGGAAATCATATTATTTACATATAAAAACAAAATTAAATTCATCTTCTATTTCAGTATTACATGTGGGGTACATGCGGTTAGTTGGTTACCCAACAAACAATTATTTTTTTTCGACTCCCAGGGGTGGTCTCTTAAATTTACCCGGTAACCCTTTCACCCCTATGTAACTTTAGTAGACTCTACCATGCATTGATATGGTTGAGTCCATTATGGTCTACAGTAGTGAAAGGGTTAAAACAGGTTTGACAATATTGTACGTAAAGGTACTTAACATAGTATTTTTTCTAGTTTTTAAATTTAAAGGACTCTAAATTTATATATAAATACTATGACACTGCTGCTAGGGGAAATAACAGTAGAAATACGGTACGGTCCAGGTAAGCTGGGTGATGTATTATATATATCACAGTGTATTTATATGGTATTTACTTTGTCATACAAACATCCCCTATCAATCGCTGTAGGATTAGGAAAGTCACTTGTTAGCCAACGACCTGTTGTAAATTGGCAGACATTTCGACGGTTGTTTAAATATTTGATATAAATTCATCTCGGTTCCATTGACATTTCTATCCACTACATATGCATGATTGCCAAATGAAAGCAATTCAAAATGCTTACATTGACATGTTTTTGTGTATATATACATATTTATTTACACAGACAATTTTGGCTTGATTTTTATAGTTTTTTTGAGGCAATGCCAAAAGATAGGTGTTTTCAATAACAATTTCAATTTAGGGGCAGTAATAAAAACATTTCAGCAAGTCTTGGGGTTTTTAAATACACCTTTTTTTCCATTATTGCTTGCACATTTACTGGGAAGATATTTTGATCTAAATATATATAGTTGTTTGACACCGAGAATAAATACAATCATCTAGGGTAATAGTATGTGTATGGATAAGTATTATAGGTGTAACACATATATATAGGCAAGGCTACTAAGGGTTCATATGGTAATAAATGGGAGGCGTACGAGCGGGCTCAAAAATATACATATGAATGGAAAAATTGAAAACCAGTTGTTGAATTTGCCCGAGTTAGATATTATCTGGCAAGATGTCCTCACCTTGGTTTGTCTGATGTTGTATATCCATTGTTTTGCTAACTGTGTTTATTTTGCTGTTGTTTAGTCGCCAGGCATATGCCGAGCAGCTGGCCGCCCAGTTTGGACTACATCCAGCGATCGGGAAATACGGATTGCTCCCAATGCTTTGCCTAATGTTATATACCCATTGTGCTATCTGTGTTTATTTTTACTGTTGTTTCATCTCCAGGCATATGCTGAGGAGCCGTCCAGTTTGGACTACATTGTACTTCCAGCGATCGGGAAATATGGATTGCTCACAGTACTTTGCCTAATGTTATATACCCATTGTTCTGCTATTTGTGTTTATTTTTACTGTTGTTTTATCTCCAGGCATATGCTGAGGAGCCGTCCAGTTTGGACTACATCCAGCGATCGGAGCTGTACCCCAAGAAGTTGCTGGTGACAGAAGACGCTGCTCTGCATGTGCCTTTCCCGCTCCTGTGTGGGGAGGCTGTGGAGTTCCTTGGGCATATCGACGAAGGCGTGATCGCCCTATCCAACTTCCGGCTCCTCATCCGCTTCAAGGACAGCTTCATCAACGTGCCGCTGGGGCTGGTGGAGAGCGTGGAATGTCGTGACATATTCTACCTATATGTGTACTGCAAGGATGCTACGGTGGCCAGGTGAGTTGCTGACGGAAATCTGACATTAACTCATTCACCCCTGAAGACACATTTGAACTCTTCCAATTCAAAAGTTGGAACAGTGCATTATGAAATTTCAGGGGTGAATGAGTTAAGTAAGATTAATTAGCCAAACTCAACATCATTACAGTGCCAACTTCCGGTGTATTTCATAATAAAATATACAGGTCAAGGTACAGGCATCCTCGATACTCCAGGGGCTACGCTCACTCACTGTCGCTCCTCGATACTCCAGGGGCTACGCTCACTGTCGCTCCTCGATAGTCCAGGGGCTACGCTCACTGTCGCTCCTCAATAGTCCAGGGGCTACGCTCACTGTCGCTCCTCGATACTCCAGGGGCTACGCTCACTGTCGCTCCTCAATACTCCAGGGGTTACGCTCACTGTCGCTCCTCGATACTCCAGGGGTTACGCTCACTGTCGCTCCTCGATACTCCAGGGGTTACGCTCACTGTCGCTCCTCGATACTCCAGGGGCTATGCTCATTGTCGCTCCTCGATACTCCAGGGGTTCGCTCACTGTCAATCCTCGATATTCCAGGGGCTATGCTAACTGTCGCTCCTCGACACTCAGAGGTTACGCTCACTGTCGCTCCTCGATACTCCAGGGGTTACGCTCACTGTCGCTCCTCGATACTCCAGGGGCTATGCTCATTGTCGCTCCTCGATACTCCAGGGGTTCGCTCACTGTCAATCCTCGATATTCCAGGGGCTATGCTAACTGTCGCTCCTCGACACTCAGAGGTTACGCTCACTGTCGCTCCTCGATACTCCAGGGGTTACGCTCACTGTCGCTCCTCGATACTCCAGGGGCTACGCTCACTGTCGCTCCTCAATACTCCAGGGGCTATGCTCACTGTCGCTCCTCGATACTCCAGGGGCTATGCTCATTGTCGCCCCTCGATACTCCAGGGGTTACGCTCACTGTCGCTCCTCAATACTCCAGGGGCTATGCTCACTGTCGCTCCTCGATACTCCAGGGGTTACGCTCATTGTCGGCCCTCGATACTCCAGGGGCTACGCTCAATGTCGCTCCTCGATACTCCAGGGGCTATGCTCACTGTCGCTCCCCGATACTCCAGGGGTTACGCTCACTGTCGCTCCTCGATACTCCAGGGGCTATGCTCATTGTCGCTCCTCGATACTCCAGGGGCTATGCTCATTGTCGCTCCTCAATACTCCAGGGGCCACGCTCACTGTCGCTCCTCGATACTCCAGGGGCTACGCTCACTGTCGCTCCTCGATACTCCAGGGGTTACGCTCACTGTTGCTCCTCGATACGCCAGGGGCTACGCTCACTGTCGCTCCTCGATACTCCAGGGGCCACGCTCACTGTCGCTCCTCGATACTCCAGGGGCTACGCTCACTGACGCTCCTTGATACTCCAGGGGCTACGCTCACTTTCGCTCTCTGCACCCCTGGGATATGTCATAGCACAATTGATGGCTTAGTATTCACTACGTACCTTGTGGATGAGAAGAAAGACCTGAATTGATGTACATCAAAAGAATCTGTCAATCACATAACAGTAAAAGTTGCTGTTGCTCCTCTGTAATCATCAATGGACAGGTATCAGCCTAGCGATTGGTCAGTATTTTTACCTGTGACCAATCAAATAGCTAGCTGCGTGCATTTGATTATGCTATGACATAATAGTCCATGGGTGCAGAGAGGGAAAGTGAGCGTATTCGTAACCCCTGGAGTAGCGAGGATGAGGATTATATTTGTGCATTTATCAACTGACAATGACATTACGTTGTAAACTGCCATTTCCGTTGTGAATTTGATCTGACTTCATTCGCACAATTAAAGCTAATTTGAAGAAGAAAATTATGAATTTTTCCCTTTTGAATTTCCAGATGTGCGTTTAGCGACAACGATTCCTGTCAGTTATGGTACCGTCGTGTCAGTGAGCGTGTGGCCCCACCCAGGGAGCTGAAGAGCTACTTTGCCTTCGCCTTCCACGCCTGGTGTGTCGACCTCTGCCCTGGGGGGCTGGAGCTTGATGCCTGCTATCAGCTTTGTAAACAAGGTACAGTACCCAGGAACTTTAGATTATGTTACGGAAGTGTAGGGTGGAAATCTGTATTGAAGTATAGTGGAACATTGCCCCCTGGCTCGAAAATTTGGGAAAATCTTTGGGAAAATGGTAGTTTTCGTCACGTAAAAATCTCTGATTTAGAATGCTTTGTATAAATGATCATTTACCTGAAGTTTTTGGGGTTTTGGTTTTGCATTGCGAAACAGGAATTTATTTGTAAAAATTGATAAAAAAATTACCTTGTTGACACATTCCTCCATTTGGTTTGTAGTCTTATTTTAAAATAATCTTGAAAATTATTTTGTCAATTTCTTTTTATATATAACAAGTGCTCTCCCTTTTGTTCTGTTTCTATGAAACACTTTCGTCTCGAGTCCTTTAAATTGCCATAATGATTGATGTGAGATATTTCATCTTTATCATTTATTTTTTTGGCAGATGAGAATTTCCACTTCTCATTTGGAAAGGAGGTGGAAAGAATGAAGTTTAACTTGAAGAATAAGACAGCATGGAGAATCACCTATCTTAACGAGTCTTATGGGTAAGGCTGATCACACACACAACAGTTCTTAAATCATAAGGACAAACAAACTATATGTCTGTTTTCTATTACTGCCCAAGTGCACTCCACTTTGAAAAATTACCAGAAATATACTTAAGTCTGTTTCAAGCTAATTAAGGTGTGACAGCCATGTTATGTAAAGAATTTGATTTTGTATTTCCAGAGTGTGTCAATCGTACCCGAAGTACCACATCGTCCCAGCAGCCATCACTGACGAGCAGCTGAAGAAGGTGGCGAGCTTCCGAGCTCTGGCCCGTTTCCCCAGTGTGGTTTGGAGGTAGGATTTATGAATTTTTCGCTGGTACTCTTGAAAAGGACTGAAGGTTCGCACTCAGTGTGTATATCTCATTCTCTGGAGCCTATCTCTTATGGTATCACCTACAATTGCCCAAATTTCTGTGCAAGTGCCTCTTGGGATGGCAAAGAGTAGCATACTGAAATCAGGTCAGTTTTCGTTTATCGCGATCCAAACGGTTGAACCGGTTGTACCAGAGTTGTTCGTTTATGAAATAAGATCGGACCTAGTTATCTGATGCTGCTTTCAGGCGGGCCTTGACAAAGCCTTGCAAGGTCGCATAAACATTTGCAGATCCAAAAGGATTTATACCCGAAATTGTTACATTTAAAAACAGAGGTACTGGTTGTTCCTCATAAACAAACAGGCTCCAGGTTGCTTGCTCAACTGTGTATAGTGTTATGGTCCTTTGTTCACCATTCAAAGTCAACAAATTGCTTGCACCGCTTTGTGTAAAGTGTTTAAATAGCAAAATGTCATACAGAATGTAATGTTGATAAAACGGATACAAGTTTTATCTGAATTGGTGAAAAATATATATGTTATAAGATGAGTCAACTTAGCCTGTAAACAAAAATATTTTTGTTTGCGGTAATTCCACCTAAACTAGAATTTGGTGCAATTGAAATCATTTAATTTTTACGGATATTTAAACTGGTTTCCAAATGTTTCAGGGACCAGCGTAATGGAGCAGTATTGGTGCGGTGCAGTCAGCCCGAGGTTGGATGGCTGGGCTGGCGGAATCCCGAGGACGAGGCCCTTCTGCGTGCCATCCCTCTTGCATGCTCCCAAAATCCTGGCTCGTACCAGCGCAGTATTGCAATTCTTGACGACTGCAGCTCTTCAGAGAGTGGGTCACAAAACGGAGGTAAGATCCTGGAAATGCATCGTAAGATCTGTATCTTGGCTATTTCCCTTGATAAACAATAAACATTTAACACGATTTTCTCCGGTTTCTCGGGACGCCTTATATACACCATTTTCATTCTTTTGGTGCCACAGAGCAAAATAGGTATTTATTGAGATGTTAAATTGGTTGCAGATGCTGGGGATGAAAGCCTTGGAGAAGACAAGAGAATGCTGGTGATCGACTGTCGGTCGTACAGCGCCGCCTTCGCCAACCGAGCTAAGGGCGGGGGTCTGGAGTGCCCAGGTAAGTCATGTGACCTAGTCTAATGAGAGCAATTTGTTAATCAGAAGAATTGAACAATAAAGAGGGCTGCAGTGGCTGAGTGGTTGAAAAGATAAATATGTATAAATATAAAAAGGGGATATCCAGGGAAGGTAGCAATAACCGCGTGTTATAAACTGTTTGTTTTATTGTGTTACAGAATACTACCCTAACTGTGAGATCCAGTTCATGAACCTGGCCAACATCCACTCCATTAGGAAGAGCTTCATCGCACTCCGCACGCTCTGTAGCAGTGGGCCGGACCAGGTGAAGTAAGTGTCTAAGTCAAGTTTAGTGTCAGAGGTCAGAATTAGTGTTAGTGGGGTCAAAGTTAAAGTCAGGGGTCAAAACGAGTGTCGGGGGTCAAATTAAGGGTCAGGGATCAAATTTAATGTCGGGTTAAAATTAATGTAAGGGGTCAAAGCTAGTGTCGGGGGTAAGCGTCTCTTTCAGGTGTTAAAATCAGGGTCAGAGGTCAAATTTTGAGTCAGGAATGAAATTTAGGGGTCAAAATTAGAAACTTAGTTCAGTTATGAAGTGTCAGGATTTAATTGATGTATTCTTAACAAAATGGCTTTTAACAATCACTGGATATGGAATTTTATTTGAAAATAAAATTAATAATCTTAACAAATAATTTGGCTTGACTGTAGACATTTTGGCTTTTGTGTTGAACTTTTGTGTACATCTACCACAAAAACAATGCTGTATGGTTGATTGTTCTGGGCCAAAATTCACAGAATTAATCCATGAGAAAGAAACGTAGCATATGACAGTGAAGTATGGTAAATTACTGATTACAAAACAGATGACACAGTGTGTTAAATGCCACAACAACAAAAAATAAAAAGAGTAGTAGTCCAAAAATCAAAATTACATAAAACAGTCAAATCTGTTTGCAAGCACCTGTTTTCAGAGACCACACGTGTTAAGAGATCACCTGTGTTAAGAGACCACCTGTGTTAAGAGACCACCTGTATAAAGAGACCACCTGTGTTAAGAGACCACCTGTATGTAGAGACCACCTGTGTTAAGAGATCACCAGTATATAGAGACCACCTGTGTTAAGAGACCACCTGTATGTAGAGACCACCTGTATAAAGAGACCACCTGTATAAAGAGATCACCTGTATGTAGAGATCACCTGTGTTAATAGATCACCTGTATATAGAGACCACCCATGTTAAGAGACCACCTGTATATAGAGACTACCTGTGTTAAGAGACCACCTGTATGTAGAGACCACCTGTATGTAGAGACCACTTTTAACACTCTTCATTGCAGTCATCATTATGTGATCAGAACACAGGTAAATAGATCACCATCCATTTTGTGGACTTTAGGAAGGTGGCCTCTGAACACTGGTCAAACTGTTTTAATGTTAAAGTCAGGAGACTTCACTTACATAACATAATGTATAATGCTACTAGAGATTAACATTGAATTACATTGTATACATAAAGAGGAAAAGATAAATTGAGCAAGGCAGTTTCAGTCGCGTTTCACGTACTTTCTCCCTTATTTGAAATGTGGAATGAGGGAGATCTCCCTCACTGGAGGTTTCAGAGGTTGACACCTGTTTCAACTTAATTATGATTCCATCTTTGTAGCTGGTTTTCTGGACTGGAGAACTCCAAATGGCTTTTACACACCTCGTGTCTCATGAAGACTGCTAACATTGCGGTCAGCTCCATCGACAAGGAGGGGCGGCCGGTCCTGGTCCACTGTTCCGACGGCTGGGACCGCACCCCTCAGATCATATCTCTGGCAACACTCCAGCTGGACCCCTACTACAGAACCATGGAGGTAACAAGCCTAAAAGCCTTCGTTGCAAGGAATATTGATAGATACAGTCAAAATTTGATGGTTCAAACTTTACGGGGCAATCTTAAAAAATTTGAAACATCAAGACTTTGACTAAATAATGTTGAACTTCTTGGAGATCCTGTAGATATTCAATTTGAAATAGATATAAATATTGGATTTAATGTTTTATGTATTTATACACTGTAGTTGCCTTGTTTAGATGTTAATAATATAAAATGACCCTGGGGTATCTCATTGTTCTCGTACAGATACACGTAGTTACTTTACTTCAAATTATTAGTTGTAATTTTCCAACATTTACCTAACAATCGGAACTTGATTGTAATTCAAAACAGTCGAACATTTGACTTGAAATAGTTCAATTCATAAATGGAGTATCACTCAGTATATAAGGTCAAACAAATCTGGACTTTGCCGAAATTTTGACACATGGAGAAATTTGAATCTTAGAAGTTTAATTATGGGGGTTTGACTGTACTTGAAATAGAGAGGTTTTGTTTGGCCTGATACTATAATCGCTATCACCCCAATAACTACATTCACCATTGCAGGGTTTCCTGGTACTAATAGAGAGAGAGTGGCTGGACTTCGGACACAAGTTCGCTGACCGCTGCGGTAACGGAATAAACAACGAGGATACGAATGAGCGATGTCCTGTGTTCCTTCAGTGGATCGACTGTGTTTACCAGATATACACGCAGTTTCCTACAGCTTTCCAGTTCAACGAGGCCTATCTGGTGAGTCAGCAGCAAAAAAACACCATTTTGAGAGACACTCGGATTGATATACCACTAGAGTATGTATGTTGATGTAATAATAAAACAGGGTCTTTTGAATTTGCTGAAGAAATAAAATATTGAAACCTTCGAACCAAAAGTCTGATTTAACATTTCATTCTGTTCATGAATATTACGAATTGTTCCAGTCTAGCTAGCTGTTTCTATCTGTACTGGAATATGCTGGGAAGTAACCCAGTGATTCAGTACTTTTGGAAAGTCTTCCTGATTTTAAAATGATTTCAGTTCGGTAGATTTCATATTAGCATTGGTATGATTATCGCGATCGATATTTTGTAGTTTTTGAGTTAATTTTTTTTTTTCCTCAGGTAAAATTGGTGCAGCACACGTACTCGTGTCTGTTCGGTACATTCCTTTGTAACACGACCCGGGAGCGACAGAAGGAGGAGCTGGAGAAACGCACCGCCTCTGTCTGGTCACTCCTCAATCTCAAAAACAAGCGATTCCTCAATCACCTTTACTGCCCCACTATAGAGCAGCAGGTTCGTAGTAAAATGATGACTACAAGTTCATGCATTGATGAACTTGACGGACAAGATTAGTCCATGTATTGGTTAAACCTATTTACCTGATGAATTCATGCATTCATGAACTTTATATGTAGGTTATGTATAGGGGTGGTCGGGTGACGCACTGGATAACGCACTTGCCGTTTAACCAAGGCGGCTGGGGTTCGATTCCCTGATTGGACATTAAAAGGTATGGAGTTACCTCCCCGACCACTTGGGTTTTCTCCAGGTTAAGACTCTTCTCGCGCTAACATGCATACCAACAAGAGTGATTAATTTAAGTTGAAATAAATTGTTTCGTATTTTTAGTAAAATAAATAGAGTTTATACATGTATATCATTAAGTTATGCATATGCATTGATGAACCTTATTTGCAAACCGTGTCTATGCATTGATGAACCCTGTATTTATGCATGTATACAATTTTTATTCTTATATTGATGAACTCTTAGTACAATTGGAGTTCATCCTTCTATGAACTTTTAAAATACATTATGTGATAAACATGTATCCATGCATTTATGAACCCTTTAAAATGTGTGTTCATGCGATGATGAACCCTACTATCTGCAATTGATTTTGTTTCTTTGATCTTTTCTCTTTTCACAACTAAATCTGAAATAATCCTTTTATATCAGAATTTATATTGAAACATTTTCATCTGTAGGTGCTGTATCCCTCATGCCATGTAAGAAGTGTCAAGCTTTGGAGGGCTGTCTTCTTGTCAAACAACTCGTCCTCGATGGGGCCAGAAGAATGCGCTCTTGACAAACCTTCACTCGTCTCCGAACCTGAGCACTGTAGCTTGCAGAAGACGAGATCATGTGAGAATTTAGCTGCCAATCAGGAAATGACAATTTTAGCTAGTCCCAGTCGTAGAAAAAGTGACCCAAACATCACCAAGGATTTTGTAGACCAAGCGCTTCACTTGGCGCCGAAAGATACGGAGCAAAACTCCAGTCGTACCAGCATTCCAAATTCTGTCAATAAAGACGACACAGCACCTGTTGTTATGAATGGTGACTCAAGTTCAGTAGAAAACGGACACGATAGTGAATGTTGTGACAAAAACGAAAAAGACGTTAACTACAGAAATGACGATATCGTGCGTGAGATTCAAATGAATGGAGAGAGTGATTCTACAGAAGAGGGAGAAAATGACAAAAAAGATGACGAAACGGAACGCCATAATAGAGACAGTGGAGTGGAGGAAGAAGTGGACGACAAAGGGGAACAACTCTCACTGATAAACGAACAAGAAGTGAAGGGGAAACAAATCTTGACAAACGGATATACAGGCGAGGATTCGACGATGGTTAATGGTGAAAATGTGATAAGTAATGGACATAGTAATGGAATTGAGACTGAGGATAAAACGTGTCAAACAATTAAAACAGATAGCGACGAGAATTTAACACGTAAGACGGGGTCCCGCGAGCTCGTAATAGAGAGCTCGACAGACACCCTGTGTGAGGAGGACGGCGAGCATTGCCGGTGTAGCGCGTCGAGTCTTGCTGACGGACCACACGGCAGAGTGTCGTCATGTAGCCAAGAAAATGTACACTGTGATAGGGAATGTAGGAATATCAAGACCGTGAACAAAATAAAGTCGCTGGAGAGCTGCTCGAGTATCAGTACGAGTACCAGCGACATTAGTAACTCGCACGTTCACATGGACTGTCTGCGCCAGGCGGCCAACCTTCTCCACCTTCAGCAGTGTCTGTTGTCACAGCCACCCGCACTGCGGCTCGACTGTGGATCCAACGGGTGCGGCAAACTATCCAGTATTCCAAACGGAGGCTGTCATTCCCCTTCCACTCAGTTTCCGACTCCTGTCAGCTCTCAGACCCCAAACTCGACCTGCCCTCCCACACCCGGCACTGATAGCAAGGTTACAAGATTTGATTTTTTTTCATTTCTTTGTGCATCTAATGGTTGTTGTTGAAGAAATTTTTCAAGAAGAAAGGGAATAGTTTTATATCAGTCCAATTTCTAAATATATCATATTTTTCAGCATGTTTTAGATTCAAGCTTTCAATAGCAGCAAGAGAGAGAAAGATTGATTGAAGGTCATCGTTACATGAGAAACAGAATCTTGCACTGAATGTTAATCTGAAAAAGAATCCGAACAGTTATATTTGAAATATTCAACTCACAGAAAGAAAATCAAACTATTTAATTAGTATGATATATATTTTATTGATTTTGATTTCTGTATGAAATTAATTACTCTAATTAATGCATTTACATAATTTTATTTATTTTGATTTTAATTATTTACTATTTCCTTCTTTCAGTCATCTGAGGTACCATTACAACGCCATCTGAGCGGGATCGGCCGCCATCTCGATATAGACGGGCTGACAATATTCAATGAGCCTGTTCAACAGAGGATGCGCCAAATCGAAGCTGATTATGAACGCCAAATTCTGGCTTTGAAGTCACACCTGGCAAACGCCCAAGCCCTGATATTACAGCACGCCTCGGCCTGCAGTGGGGCAGGAAGGTGTGCTATGGAACTAGCCAAAGATGAAATGGTAAATGAAAAAAATCTGCAAGTATTGCTCTCCAAACTTGGCCAGCCACAAAATCTGGAGTCGGAAATGTCAAAAAATTGTTTGAATCTTGGTAGACTGATTGGCAGGGAGGGGTAGGCTTGGTGACTTGGCCGTCCGTCCACTTTTCATTTAAAACGCTACTAGTCTTGAACGGCTCACTGGATTTTAATTAAATTTGGTCAGGAGCATCCTTGGGCTCAAGTCAATTTTGTATATAGGGTGGGTGTGGCCCCCATGGGGACAGAGGAGCGGGCCCCAACAGGGGAAATAGAGGTAAAACCTTTAAAATCCTTCTTCTACCATAGGGATTAAGGAATTATATCCTTGTTTAGTCTGGAGCATCTTTGGTCCAAGGGGACTCAATTTTGTATAAGTGGTGGCTGGGGCCCCCATGGGGACAGAGGAGCGGGGCCCAACAGGGGAAATAAAGGTAAAACCTTTGATCCTTCTTCTACCATAGGGATTAAGGATTATATCCTTGTTTAGTCTGGAGCATCTTTGGTCCAAGGGGACTCAGTTTTGTATGAGTGGTGGCTGGGGCCCCCCTGGGGGTACAGGGGTGGGTCTGAATAGGGGAAATAGAGGTTAAACTGTTAAAATCCTGCTTATAGCGTAGGGATTCAGGAATTTTATCCCAGTTTGGTCTTGAACATCCTTGGGCCTAGGGGACTCAGTTTTGTTTAACAGTGGGTGTGGCCCCCCTGAGGGCAGAGGGGTGGGGTCAAATAGGGGAAATAGAGGTAAACCTTTGAAATCCTTCTATCGTAGGGATAAAGGGATTTTATCCTAATTTAGTCTGAAGCATCCTTGGACCATGGGGACTCAATTTTGTATGAACGGCGGGTGTGGCCCCCCTGGGGGCAGAGGGACAGGGCCCAATAGGGGAAATAGAGGTAAAACCTTTTAAATCCTTATTCTACCATAGGGATTAGGGGATTTAATCCCAATTTTGTCTCCATCTAGTAGTGCCTGTTACTATAGGGGTGTATTCATTTCAACAAGATGGCCACCAGGCCGCCATCTTGGATTTTGACATTTGAAGTTTGTTCTTGCGATATATCTCCAGAAATACTGGATGGATCTTTCTTAATTTTTATATGTACATCTTTACCTCTTATCTAGTTCTTAAAACATTTCCAGGTGAGCGATACATGCCCTCTTGGCCTCTTGTAAAATGATGTCTTCAGATAATTTAATTTTGATATGTTTTAATAATTTTATGTTTGGACAGACGTTATTGAAATGCTTTGTCAGTGTCAAATGTGACTTAATGATTTTAAGTATTTTTTTTCTTTCACTAGTATTTGATACTATTTTTTTTTTTTTTTGTGATCTTACTTAACTCATTCACCCCTGAAGACACATTTGAACTCTTCCAATTCAAAGGTTGGAATAGTTCAATATGAAATTTCAGGGGTAAAAAGCTTCTACCACACAAAGGGTTTCTGAGCTAGTTCTATTGCTTGAAGGAATGCTTGGATTTTACAGATTATATTTGAAGCAGTGGTATCGTAATTTGTATCGAGAGAAACGCCTGACATTTTGTTTCCCTTTGCAGTTGTTGCTGCCTGAAGCGACAGGATATGGAGACTTCCAGTCCCTCGGTGGGTGTAGTAACGCTGCGTCAGACGTCAGTTGGGAACAGATCGAAGACACAGAATCTAAAATGGTGAAATGGGTCCCTGACCATGCCGTTACTCACTGTGGTAACTGTGATCTTAGCTTTGGCATGATTAACAGGAAACATCACTGCAGGTAAATCTCAGTCTTACTCATCACTGTAGGTAAATCTCAGTCTTACTCACCACTGTAGGTAAATCTCAGTCTTACTCACCACCGCAGGTAAATTTCAGTCTTACTCACCACTGTAGGTAAATCTCAGTCTTACTCACCACTGTAGGTAAATTTCAGTCTTACTCACCACTGTAGGTAAATCTCAGTCTAACTCACCACCGCAGGTAAATTTCAGTCTTACTTTCCACTGTAGGTAAATTTCAGTCTTACTTTCCACTGTAGGTAAATTTCAGTCTTACCCACCACTGTAGGTAAATTTCAGTCTTACTTTCCACTGCAAGTAAATTTCAGTCTTACTTTCCACTGTAGATAAATTTCAGTCTTACTTTCCACTACAAGTAAATCTCAGTCTTACTCATCATTGCAGGTAAATTTCAGTCTTACTCACCACTGCAGGTAAAAATAAGTTTCAATATCTACTCCAGATAAACTTCACTTCCATAATTAAACTGTTTATGCTATTTCTGCAAACAAGCTTACTTCCAGTAACTGCTCCAACTAAGCTTCAGTTCCATTATCAAGCTGCTCCAGATAAACTTCAGTCCCAGTTACCACTCCAGATATACTTCAGTCCCAGTAACCACTCAAGATAAACTTCAGTCCCAGTTACCACTCCAGATAAACTTCAGTCCCAGTTACCACTCCAGATAAACTTCAGTCCCAGTAACCACTCCAGATAAACTTCAGTCCCAGTAACCACTCCAGATAAACTTCAGTCCCAGTAACCACTCCTGATAAACTTCAGTCCCAGTTACCACTCCTGATAAACTTCAGTCCCAATAACCACTCAGGATAACCTTCAGTCCCAAAGACCACTGCACACAAAATTCAGTCCCAGTATTAAACCACTCCTGAAAAACTTCAGTCCCAGTAACCACTCCAGATAAACTTCAGTCCCAGTTACCACTCCTGATAAACTTCAGTCCCAGTTACCACTTCTGATAAACTTCAGTCCCAATAACCACTCAGGATAACCTTAAGTCCCAAAGACCACTGCACACAAACTTCAGTCCCAGTATTAAACCACTCCTGAAAAACTTCAGTCCCAGTAACCACTCCAGATAAACTTCAGTCCCAGTTACCACTCCTGATAAACTTCAGTCCCAGTTACCACTTCTGATAAACTTCAGTCCCAATAACCACTCAGGATAACCTTAAGTCCCAAAGACCACTGCACACAAACTTCAGTCCCAGTATTAAACCACTCCTGAAAAACTTCAGTCCCAATAACCACTCCTGATAACCTTAAGTCCCAACGACCACTGCACACAAACTTCAGTCCCAGTATTAAACCACTCCAGATAAACTTGGGTGCCAATTATCACTGTAGATATATTTAAGTCCCAGTAAGTTTTCAAACATGATTTAAAATAAGATATATATTGGTATTTGCACATAAAAAAAAATGAAAATGAAAACAAAATTATAAACTGAATCCCTGTTTTCATCTGGTAAGCTTCTCCAAAACTTGTATGGATGTGTTTTAGGTCATACAGCAATTTTTGGCCTGTCATGTTTTTCTGCAAAATTCCATACACCGAAATCTGTCAAATCCACCACCATAGAAAATATTAGAATCTATATGGTTAATTGGAGTTACAAGGAGTTTCTTTGGTAATTTTCTGTAGAGATGGGGTCACTGCATTATGTTCGATGAGGCAAGTTTCGCTTAATTCAAATAATTATGTAAATTAAAATAATTACATATAAAATACAGATGTGTAAACGATTGTCAATGTAGACATGTTTCTTACCAACATTTTTTTCCGTATTTCACAGGAACTGCGGAAACATCTTCTGTCACGATTGTACGAACTACTACACATCAATCCCTCAGCAAAATCTCATGTCCCCGGAGCGAGTCTGTCAAAGTTGTTACAAGGTCCTGCGGTACCAGGGCGGAAGAAGCTCACTGGAGAACGGGGTCATTGATGAGCGACCAATGGCCGCCGCCGCCTCAAATTAACGGACGAAATCTAAAACAATTATTTGGCAAACCTTTCCACAGCAGATTTATTATCAAATTTCAGAATTTGAAGTCATTTCCTGGCATATCTATGTGTTGTTTTCTTGTTTAGATATACCGCTATGTTTACTCATTCACCCCTGAAGTTTCATAATGAACTATTCCATCCTTTGAATTGGAAGAGTTCAAATGTGTCTTCAGGGGTGGATGAGTTAATGGTTAAGGAACATTTGAAGGCAAGAGATTTTAGAATGCTACAGATCTCCGTGTATAAATGTTGCTGTACTAGCTAACAAATGGATGCATAAACATGTACCAGAACATTTGGGATTTTGTTGAAATTTGAAATACCTAAGACTTTGGTTTTTAAATAAATACTGGTAGGATAACACTGAGAAGGTCTTTGGTTATAAACATTAGATTCATTTATTTGTTATTTTTTAGAACAATTAATTTTTTCTTCCTTTGATTTTGTATGCAGTAACTCCTCAGATATTTCCTTTTAATAAAAAGAAAATTACATACCATATACTGTAGACTAAAATAATCTTATCAACTTATGTGTATTATTCTCAACATGCAGATTGGAATATTCATTAGTTTAACCCTTTCACCCCTATGTAACTTAGTAGGCTCTACCATGCTTTGATCTGGATGAGTCCATTATGGTCTACAGTGGTGAAAGGGTTAAAAGATTCAGATAAAAAAGGATTTAATAAAATTATCAATACTGTAATGTTAAAAGAATATTACTATTGTAAAATCCTTATTAATCAACAAAACTGAAACCTTTAGCAAAATAATTGAAAAATCATATTTAATAACATTTACACTAGCAAAATTAAGTCTGGTAAAATACAATAGACTAGTAACAAGTAATTAAGTCCAAAGCTCGAGATAAATTCTATTAACTCATTCACCCCTGAAGACACATTTGATCTCTTCCGAATCAAAGGTTGGAAAAGGTCATTATGAAATTTCAGGGGTGAATGAGTTACTGTTTGTAAATTCCATCAAAAAATTCCTTAAAATAAACATCTAGCAGATGAAATTGACATTAGTGTGGGTCATTATATATTCTCATGAGTTAAATATCTAAAGTTTAAAATTTGGTAAATAAAGAACTCAGCTCCCAGAAAGTTTCTGATTATTGGGGCTTTTTGTAACTAGCTATTCAACCTCGGATTGTAAAAGGCTTGTGGATATTTCTTGAATTTCTAAAAACCTTTCCAATCATCTTGTAAAGGAAATTTATGCAATATTCTTGTCTCTGGGTAACCTTATCTAGTTTTCTAATGACTTTTTAAAACAGTTGGAAAATACCTTAGATAAAATTGAAGAGACGGAGTTGATTTGTCATTCAGTGATTATACTCACGGTTGTCGACGTCATACCATTAGTCTACGACTACTATGGAAATCAGGCTTGGAAATACTTGGGTGCATTAGGTTTTATCGGAAGATAAAATTATCAATATCTGTTTGAAAAATCACAGAATACTGATCTTCCTTTGAATGACTACATACATAACATCTAGTTCTACCACTTTATATTTCGAATGTGTTTTCTTCATTTTAGATTCAAGATTGGTGTCCTAAATGTAATTCATCATATCAGATTTTGTTATGTTGTTGAGCAATTCCAGTATTTATTTTTATTTTTCTCAGTTTTTGATGGAGGGAGAAAATGCTTTGCTTCAGTTGTTTTTTTAATATCATCAAAAAAATTTGTAGTTGCTGTGCTTTTATTACACATTTTCAAAACTGTTTTCTTTATATCTGCGCATTGTGTGATATAGCTTCTCCTAGAAATGAGGACAGTACTGGATTACCTCCCTTTGTATATTTAGTTACAGGTACATGCTCGGCCAATCTTCTCCAAATTTGACAATAATTATATATTACTTTTTTATAACGCCGAAATTTTTTTGTTTTTGATTTTGTTTTTAAAAGACTTTATTTATGTATTGAAGCCTCAAAACAGGTACTATTGTAAATTCATCTGATGTCTTAAATAACGGCTTAATCAGCATGGGTTGTTCGTTGCATTTGAAAATACTTCAAGAAAGATCTAGTAAGTTATTGGGGAAATTGACCTTGGGTGTAGGAACCTATATTATTAATTGTTCTTAAAAGAGTTTTAAAAATAATTCTGATCAAACCAAAATTTAATAAATCTCACTTTGTGATAAGTTCGTCAAAATCTGTTTAAAATAATTAATACTGTAACATATTTCGCATATTTATGATTTGAAAGATGGATTTTTTTTCAATGTCAAAACCAAGGTAACATTTCTGCGATAAAGGGAGGTAATCTGGTAAAGCAAATTATTCACCCCTGAAATTCTGTAATGAACTGTTCCATCCTTTGAATTGGAGGAGTTCAAATGTGTCTTCAGCGGTGAATGAGTTAATCATCAGATATAGATCGGGACTAAATGACATTTTGTTTGAACACGTACGCCAAATGCTTTGATCATAGTCCTGCAATGGCCGAGGGGGATATTAACATGTACTTGACAATCAAGGTGGTTGCTAGGAACGGCGATTTACGGAATTTCACAAATAAACATTTGTAATAGACAATTTTTTTGTTAGATATAATTTGCATATAATTTGCATATTTTGTCAGGATCTTTTTCAAAAAGTCAGTGTTAACATAAGTTAAATATCATAATTAGAAAATTGCTATGTAATAAAAAATAGCTTATTCAGGGATTTTCCTTTAAAGCCCTTTTTGATTTAACAAAAGGGATAAATTTCTCTCCTTAATTTGTTGAAAAATGTCTCAATTTTCTTACTTGAAGTTACCAATGTTAGGAGAAAAGGAATTTTCAAAAAACGGTTTTTAAAAAAGAACATACCGTTTTGAAGGGAAACTGCAATTTTGAATAAAAAAAATATCATACATCTAAAATTTAATATTATCTAAACTGAGAATTCCACTGTGTTATTCCTGTTTAAAACTAAATACTGCACAGGATCTGTAACATTATTTGTCCTCTTATTTTATTTTTTTGTGAGTCAAGTTTTTCGAGGAATTCTGAGGTGGGAGCATCAATTTACAAAAATAGGGCAAAGAAATGTGTAACTGTATTGATTATGAATCGGAATGATGCGTTTGTCAGGATTGTGTGACTGTAACATTATTTCTCAACTGTCTTGTGTATTGTAGCTTTAAAATGATATTCATCTGAACAGACATTTTCAAAGGGGAATTTTTCAAAACCAGGTTAAGAACTGGTATTTTGAACACAAATTGCTATCTCGTGTTGTCAACTGAGACTTTTCGTTATTTCCACAAACAGAGTTTTTGACAAGTGAAAATATTTTCTGGGAACTTAACATTCTATCACATCTGAATGATGCACATCAATCACTTTTAGGAATTGGTGTCAAGGTCAGGGTCAAAATCTATATCAAGGTCAAATAAAAAAAAAAACTGCTTTGTGCTGTTAATTTAGACACGTTGAGAATAGGACCATTTGATTCTTGTTTATCTTAATGTGTTTTTTGCAATTCCTATTTATATAGACTCAATTATTTCTTTATCAAGATAATCTAGTTTCTATCTGTAAACCTGTTATAAATTAGCACATGATCAACAATGTAATGAAATTAAATTTGAAATAAATATCTTTCTAACGACAACAACTTCTACACGGAAATGAATAACCCAATCGTAAGTTTAACTTTAACAGTTTCAGTACTTTTAAAACTATCGTTATTATTTTATTCTAAATAGCCAATTATATATGCATTTTTTTATTTTTTTTTGTACTCAAACAGAAATTAATACAAAAATTTGTTTGTTACGTTTTTCCTTTTCTAGTTCATATGTGATGGATCTTGCTCAAACGTGGACTTGTTATGTTCGTATTGTGGCTGATGGTTGTTTAGAGTTTAGATGATTGTATGATGTGAGCGTGGCGATGCTGATATGTGAGCGTGTAACAGGATGACGATGTATCAAAATCTATAAACGCACAGTTTAACAATAAGTTAAATTACAATTAGAGTAACTGGAAATAGGATCTCTTTTCATATAAATCAAAGGGGCACAGTGGTTAAGGCGTCTTACTGTCTCTGATCACTAGCCCTCCAACACTGGGTCGCAAGTTCAACGCCTACCTGGGGCAGTCGCCAGGTATGGGCCACAGGTTGGTGATTTTTTCTCCAGGGTGCTACCACCAAAACCTGGCACATCCTTAACCCTTTCACCCCTATGTAACTTTAGTAGACTCTACCCTACATTTGTCTTGGTGAGTCCATTATGGTCTACAGTGGTGAAATGGATAAATGACCATAGCTGTTAATAGGATGTAAAGCCCGAATATATCGGACCAATCATATACATGTATCAATATTTAACAGAAAAAGTAGTTTTCTAGCGTAGGAATCTCTGTCGGTGATTTGGTGAGGTAACGCGGTAATTAATTCACTCACTGTTCTAGTGTTCCAAGCTTGGATGCTTAAAACCTGGAAACAGGAAATGTTCTGTTTTCAGCGTTGATAACCAAGAACATGTAAGTAGTTGTATATGAGGTTATGAATTGTAAAAAATTTAGTCAAAATTTCAATATAAAATTTCTAAAGTGAACTATGAAAATATCAGTAATTTCCTATTTTCTAACACTTTCAAAATCCTCCTTTTTAGCTCACCTGGCACAAAGTGCCAAGTGAGCTTATGCCGTGGCGCGGCGTCTGTCGTCCGTCCTTTGTCCGTCGTCCGTTTGTCCGTCCGTCCTCGTCCGTCAACTTTTCCTTTAAACAACTTCTTCTGAAGAACGGACAGGCCTAGAGTCATGATATTTGGGTGAAAGCTTCGTTGGTAGGAGCCCTACAAAGTTTGAGGATGAAAATGACCTTGACCTACTTTCAAGGTCACAGGGGTCAAATGTGTCAAACACTTCAAACGACTTCTTCTGAAGAACTGAAAGGTATAGAATCTTTATATTTGGCTGGTGGCTTCCTGGGATAGAGACCAACAAAGTTTGAGAATGAAAATTAGTTTGACCTACTTTCAAGGTCACAGGGGTCAAATATGTCAAAAACTTCAAACGACTTCTTCTGAAGAATTAAAAGGTATAGAATCTTCATATTTGGCTGATGGCTTCCTTGGATGGAGCCCAACAAAGTTTGAGAATGAAAATTACCTTGACCTTCTTTCAAGGTCACAGGGGTCAAATGTGTCAAACACTTCAAACGACTTCTTCTGAAGAACTGAAAGGTATATAATCTTTATATTTGGCTGGTGGCTTCCTGGGATAGAGCCCAACAAAGTTTGAGAATGAAAACTAGTTTGACCTACTTTCAAGGTCACAGGGGTCATATATGTCAAAAGCTTCAAATGACTTCTTCTGAAGAACTGAAAGGTATAGAATCTTTATTTTTGATTGATGGCTTCCTTGGATAGAGCCCGACAAAGTTTGAGAATGAAAATGACCTTGACCTTCTTTCAAGGTCACAGGAGTCAAATGTGTCAGACACTTCAAACGACTTCTTCTGAAGAACTGAAAGGTATATAATCTCTATATTTGGCTTGTAGCTTCCTAGGAAAGAGCCGAACAAAGTTTGAGAATGAAAATGACCTTGACCTTCTTTTAAGGTCACATGAGGCAGATATGTCAAACACTTTAAACGACTTCTTCTGAAGAACTGGTAGTTATAAAATCTTAATATTTGGCAGGTGGCTTCCTGGGAAAGAGCCAAACAAAGTTTGCGAATGAAAATGACCTTGACCTACTTTCAAGGTCACAGCGTTCAAATATGTCAAACAGTTCAAACAGCTTCTTCTGAAGAATTAAAAGGCATAAAATTATAATATTTGGCTGGTGACTTCCCGGGATAGAGCTCACCAAAGTTTGCAAATGAAAATGACCTCAACCTACTTTAGAGGTCACAGAGGTCAACAACATTTTAATGGATTTGTTCTTGAGAACTAAAAGGAATGGATTCATAAGATTTGGCTGGTAGCTTTTTGGAATAGAGCTAACCAATTTGAGAAGGAAAATGACATTGACCTACTTACAAGATCACAGGGAAAAATATGTCAAGCAACTTCTGAAGAAGAATCAAAAAGCATAGAATCTTATAATAATATTTTGCTGGTAGTTTCAACAGATGGAGCCAACAAAGTTTGCGAGGGAAATATTTTTAGTGCAATATAATATTTAATGAGAATATTTTGCTATGACTGCTTAAATATTCAGGTGAGCGATACAGGCCCTCTTGGGCCTCTTGTTAATTTAGCATGGCTATGTAGATTAAAGCGTGGGCAGTGTAGATATACGGGATCTACCTAAGTTTATTCCCTTGCTTTGCATGCTGCGTGATAAGCATGGCTTAGAACCTTGGTGAGGCCTACTGTGTGAAGCTTAGCTAGGCATATTGTCAAAAGTACTTAACAGTTGCTGTCGATGAATAATTTATTTCTGCTCAGTCTCGAGTATTGGACTACGTCAGGTCAGTTTGCTATATAAATCTTGTAAATTTGTACCAACTCATTCACCCCTGAAGACACATTTGAACTCTTCTGATTCAATGGTTGGCATAGTTCATTACGAAATTCCAGGGGTGAATAAGTTAATGGATAATTGTAATTTCATGTTAGGGGGGTTTGTCCTACATATCCGTAAATGACAGTTTCCTGTCGTATTTATCGGTCGATAAGCCCATGCCTGGTAATAAGCCCACCCATATATATTGCAGTCTTCAGTAGAAATGACAACAAATGCTATTATATAATCCTGTAATAAGCCCGCCCCTGATTGGAGTCGGAGATTATGTGTTGGCCGCCTGGGCTTATCGCAGGATAAACATGGCATTTACCGGTAAGTTACAATTTACTATTTACTGGTCGCTATAGTTTCAGACTCCTGCTTTGATTTTGTTTATAATAAATTTCAGGGTTTTATTTTTACTTGTTTTTGTTTTTACTCTGCCTGTTAGGGAAACAGTTTCATGGGTCAATGAACTTGTTAAAAAATTTCAAATACATCAATTTGTCAATATCTAGTCTAGTTCAAACACTTGTTATCTGTTGATATCGTAAAATGTATTATTTTTGTGTTACATGCCAGAAATACATCAGTTTCAAGTTTCTGTGATGTTTTTGTTGACGTTAAACAATAGATTTTGGGGAGATAAAGCTGTAAGTGTGCTAGGCCTTGTTTTGTAAAGTAAAGCCTCCTTATAGCGTCACCATTTGTAAAGTACCATTTTGGCATTATAAAGGGGTGCAGCGATGATATATCAAGGGAAGTTTATGAAGAAATTTTGAAGAAAATCAGAAAAATGGACATTAAAAAATGTTGTCGATAAGGGAGGTGACAAATTGAAAGAGGGCCGTTATAACGAGGTTCTACTGTACAAGAC